AGTGGTTACGAATCGGGCTGCGAACCTTAAGGTCAGCGGTTCGAAACTACCAGCCGCTCCACGGGAGAAAGATGAGGCTTTCTACTCCCGTAAAGACTTGGAAACCCTGTACAGGGTCGCTATGGGTCGGAACCGACTCAACAGCACTTAACAACAACAACAACAACAAATCGAGTTCTGGTGTGGCGCTGTGGGTTAATGCGCCAGACTGCAAAGCCGTTTGAACTGCTAGGTCGGCGGTTCAAGCTCACCAGCTGCTCCTTGGAAATCCTATAAAGGGTCGCTATGGGTCGGAATCGACTCAACGGCACTTGACAACAACATGGCACTTGACAACAACATAGAGTCCAACCCACTAAAGGAAATCTGGTAGCGTAGTGGTAACGAATTGGGCTGCTTAATCTCACGGTCAGCAGCTCAAAACTACGAGCTGTTCTGCGGGAGAAAGATGAGACTTTCTGCTAAGATAAAGATTTACAGCCTCGGAAACCCTGTAGAGGGTCGCTGTGAGTGAGAACGGACTCCACGCACAAAACAACAAGCCACATGGGAGAGCAGAGACTCTGTAGGATAAGTACTGGACTTTGAGCCACAAGGTCAGCAGTTCGAGCCCACCAGCTGCTCCATGGCTTTCTTCTTATATAAAGATTTACAGCCTCGGAAACCCTGTACAGGGTCGCTATGGGTCGCAATCGACTCGACGGCACTTAACAACAACATAGAGTCCTGGTGTGGCACTGTGGGTTAATGCGCCAGACTGCAAAGCCCTTTGAACTTCAAGGTCAGCTCGGAAACCCTATACGTAGTCGCTATGGGTCGGAGCCGACTAGACAGCACTTAACAACAACAATGGAGGAGTCCTGGAGACCTGGTGTGGCACTGTGGGTTAGTGCGCTGGACTGCAAGGTCGGTTTGAACTGCAAGGTTGACAGTTCAAACTCACAACCGCTCCTAGGAAACCCTACACAGGGTCACTGTGATTTGAAACCAACTCTGCAGCACTTAACAGCAACAAGGGATTCCTGATGCGGTGTAAGATGAATGAACACTGGGGCCGAAAGGTCGGTTTGAATTGCAAGGTCGGCGATTCAAACTCACCAAGCGCTCTTAGAAACCCTATACAGAGCCACTATGAGTAGAAACCGACTCGGCATTAAACAACAATGTTGTTTCCCAAGGAGCCCCTGGTAACATAATGGATTACAAACTGGGCTGCTAACCACAAAAAAATCAGCAAATCGAATCTCCCAGCCTCTCTGAGGGAGAAAGATGAAGCTTTCTACTCCTGTAAAGATTTACAGCCTCCAAAAGTCGGAAACACTATACAGGGTCGACTATGAGTCGGAACCGACTCCAGGACACTTAACAACACTATGTTGTTCCTGGAGTCCTGGCGTGGCGTTGTAGGATAAACACTGGATTATTAACCAAAAAGTTAGCGGTTTAAACCCACCAACCACTCCTCCTAAACCTCATACAAGGTCCCTATGAGTCGGAAACGACTCGTTGGCACTGAACAAAAGCATGCTGTTCCTAGAGTGAACTATCTTCTCCCTTTTCCAAATGAGGAAACGGACACAGTGAGGCTGAGTCACTAGCTTAAACTCTCCCAAGGGAGGAATCGGATTCAATTCTGAGCAGCACCAGAATTCCCACTCCAAGCCTCTCCTTTTCTTACGTGGGTCCCAAAACGACCCAAATCAAACCCACTGCGAAAGAGTTGATTTCAACTCAAAGCGATCCTAGTGTTTCCAAGGCTGTGAATCTTTCTGAAAACAGACTACTACCACATCTTTTTCCCACAGAGGGGCTGGTGGGTTCAAACCGACGACCTATCGGTTGGCAGCTCAGCGCTTTTACCACTGCACACCGTGGGTCCCCTTGAGATGTTTTGTGTGTGTGGTTTTTTTTTAACCTATGAATCCTCCAAACTTGGCCACACCCAAAGCACGACCCCGCCAACCTCACACCCAAGCCGAGCACAGCCAGTCCAGGGCGAGCGGAGGGAGGAGCGGTGCCGCCCCCGGGTATTTAATCCCAGTCTGGAAGCCGCAGGGCGCTCCGGCTCCACCCGACTATCCTCTCTCTTCTCCTGGCTCTCTCCAGGCGCGCCCCACCCTCTGCCCCGCGCTCTCGTGGAGCGCTGGCACCGGCCGGCGGGCGCTGCTCGTCTCTGCGGAGCCGCCCCCTGACCGAGGCCGCCGCGCACCGCCTTAGTCCACGCCGCCCGCTTCCCGCACCGAGTGCACCGCGGAACCCGAGCTGGGACGCCGGGCGGCTGAGGACGCCCGGCCAACAGCCCGCAGCATGGATTCGGATTCCGGCGATCAGAGTGAGGGCGAGCCCGTGACCGCAGCAGGTACAGAGGGGCTCCCGGACCACCCAGCAGGGAGGGCTGGGGCTGGGGAGGAAGGGAGGCCGGGACAGGAAACTGCGAGCATTTCTCGGAGCTGCCAGACGGGAGGCCGATCCCCGGCAGTCTGAACCCTTCCAGGCCGGGACTGGGGGGTTGCCCTGCTCTGTGAGTTTGCATTGGGGCGCCCCTCTGCTCTTTGCGCTTGGGCGCGCGGGAGGAAAAGGAGGTGAATTTGCTGGGAGCTCTCGGCCTGCTGCCGGACTCCTGCAGCGGGCCGGGGTCTGCCGGAGTAGTTGGGGGCGGGGAAGTGTTAGGGAAATCCACGTCCTCTAGTTTGCTGCAGCGAGGGTTGCAATACAACTGCCTTTTGAAATAACTTTCGGAGCGTCGGCCGGGTCTCCGAGCCCTGGGCGCCGGAACCACGCTGCGGAGCAGGTGATCAGATCCAAGGATGTGACAGGGGACTCCCGGGAAGGAGTCAAATCAAAGTTCGTGGCTGCGTTTCCCGAGGCTGCCGGGCGAGCCCCTGCAAAAGCGCTCGCCCATCACTGCCGGACAGCCGACTGAGGGGCGCCTGGGACGCAGACGCTGGGCTGGCAGGAGCTGAACTTCGCCTTTAAGAGGCGCCGCCAGTATTTCACAATCAATAGTTATCGAAGCAGTGGGTGGCTGCTTACTTAGGAAATAAATGAATGCCTTCCCCCGCCTCTCCGTGATAACTGAGCAACAGGAGGAAGCCACCCACTGTCTTGGGTCGACTACTGCCGACCCACCCAGCTCCTGGCCCACACACACCTGGGACCGACTCTCCTGCCTCTCGTGTCCCCGGTTCCCAGCACCTTGAAGATTAGCCGTGGTCTGCAGACCTAGGACCTGCGTGCGAAGGGGAGGGGAGGAGGGGCCCCGGGGAGAGGAGACCGGGGGTGGGAAGGCCCACAAGTGGCCAGAGCCACCATCCACCCGGGCAAGAATGTAGGAAGATAGACTCAGAATCCAGGTAGGACCGTGCCAGGCGTTGTGTCAAGGGTCTTTCTACGAGGGGGCTTCAAAAAGTTCGTAGGAAAATTCCATTATCTTTTAGTTCCATTTTTTCCACGAACTTTTTGTAGTCCCTACGTATAGCATGCCCCTTAACCCTCACCGCTCCTAGTATAAAGATTTTACAGAGGGTCCAGGTATGGCGCTGTGAGTTAACGCGCTGGGCTGCAAAGTCGGTTTGATCCGCAGGGTCGGCAGTTCAAGCTTACCAGCCGCTCCTCGGAAACCCTAAACAGGGTCGCTATGGGTCGGAACCGACTCGACGGCATGTGTGAGTGGGCATGCCACTCAGTCTCTTGGGTGGCATGCCGACTCACACAGCCAGGGAGTTGCCGAGGCCCGAGGACTCCCTTTCCACTCACTGCATCTCACTGGATGGCTGTGGTAGACAGATGTGGGTGGAAATGAAAGTTGGCATTGCCAACATGCCTGTGTATGAGGATTACTGTGTGCCTGCATGCAAGGGCCACCTGCTTTGTGTAGGTATGTGTGAATATAATTCATAAACACCACCTCTTTGCATGCCTATATTTCTATGACTATAAAGTGCAGAGATTTCTTTCACAGGTGGCTGATTTATGGATCTCCTGTAATCACTTAAAAATTCCTGTGGGGGTGTGCCTAAGTCTGCTCCCGCGGCTCCAGAGGGCACAAACACTGGCCCTGGTCTTTACTGTCTGGAGATCCCAGGGACCACTGTTCTTCATACTCTCCTACCTCCAACTTAACACTTGTGAGAGTTGATTGAGAGGAGGGAGGAGGCTTGGAGAAAGATGAGGAGAGGAGGAAAGCATGAGAACTCCAGAATGGCTTGTGCTTGGGTGCACAGAGAGGGGGAAAATTCTTGAAGTGCCCTGGTACCTTTTCCCCACAGCCCTGAGCTAGCAGGGAGTATCCCTGACTGTATTTCTTTATGTCAGTTTGTGTGAGATGCTCTCCACAGAATTAATAGCAAATGTTAGATAGGTCAGATGAGGAATAGGGCAGACAGCTCTTGTGAGCTGTCACCATTTGTTTGCAACTTACTATTTTCTGCAGTCATCTTTATTCGTGGGCTTGAATCTCACAAGTTGAACATTAAATCTGAATGTCACAAGCCATTCTGCTAAATGGCATTCAGTCACTCTCAGAGTATTCTCCTTTATGACAAAGCCTCAAATCAGAATGCTAAATCATCCTCTTGCTTCTATAACTGCATCCTGTCAAATGGAAACCCATGTTGCAGTTTCAGATACAGGTTAAATGACAGGTGTTATCTATTGGGGATGACCTTTGTTCTTAAAGGAAACATGTCATTCATCTGGGAACCAATATCTGCAAGTCAAATAGGTGATGGGTTTGTAACTGAGAAAGACAAAGGGCAAGTAGGACCTGTTGGAGTTTGTCATGTGTGTCTGTGTATACCTATCTCAGAAGGAATTGAGATGTAAGGACTGCTTCCTTCTCAACACCCTACCCTTCTCAAACTTGTGACAAATCTAGGTTAAAGCTAAGAGGTGGAATTAAACAGATAGAGGTTTCAATCGCCACCTTAAGGGCAAGTTATTTAACCTTTCCAAATCTGTTTTTCCCTCTCTGTAAACTAGGGCTAACAGCGGTACCACAAGGGGTTGGGAAAATGAAATAAAATAACATGAAAAGTGTTCCTGGAATGTAGTAATTAGTCAGTAAATGGTTGTTTTTATTATCACCTGTTTGGATTACTATAAGAAGACTATAAATGATGGTATCCAGTGCTTTATAAAATGTCAGTCACTTGGCATAGGTAATACAAGTAGAATCGTGTCCCTATTAGCACCTTGATAAAATTGCCTAAGGAGATTGGTGCTGAGTGCTTTGTGTGTGTGTTAGTTTTATCTCTTCCCCACCCACATCCATCTTCCTATGCAAGGCTTCAAGAAGGGTACATTCAAACCTGGTTCTTCCACCCCCACCTCCTCTAGCTAGAGGGCAAGTTGTAAAAAGCAGAGAACTCCTTACCCAGTCTGCCTTCTGACCTAGAGATGGAAGAGGTCCCCTCTTTCATGTCACTTCAAATGGAAGCAGGGAGTGTTCCCCTTCTTCCAACCCCACCTGACTCTTGCCTTTCACGATAGCAGTAGTCACAACTAGCAGAGGAGTTAGGAAATCTCATTGGTCTACTCAGACTCAGTCTTTCTTTACTGGAGCCTTCTCAGGAGACTTTCCCACTGCATGGACTTTCGGGGAGCAACACTTTGTAGCAAAGGGTCTGAATGGAGGTGGGTTTGAGGTTGATCTTGATCTTTATGTTCTGGTGTTCAAGGAAACACATGGGAGGCTGTTGGTCCATACTACAAGCACTTTGAACCACAAGGTCTATGGTTCAAGCCTACCAGCCTCTCCTAGGGACAAAGATGAGGCTTTTGCTCCCTTAAAGATGGCTTTACGAAAACTTCCGAAACCCTCTATACAAGATGATGCTTCTGTGCCCTTTTTTCTGCAATTCGTTTCTGCCTTTCTGGAGTCTGGTTTCTTCTATGGAGTCCTGGTATAGCACTGTAGGATAAGCACTAGACTGCTAAACACAAGGTCAGTGGTTCAAATCCCTTGGAAACCCCTATACAGGGTCACTATGAATTGGAACTGACTCCATGGCACTTAACAACAACAACGTGATTAGGAAGGAGGCAGGGTTTATGGAACACTAGGTTCCTCCCAGAGACCCATCCCAGCAGCCTCTCCTTGGAAAACCCACCATTTCTATCTCTCAGAAACTTCAGAGTTTGGTGTACTAACTCAGTGTTTGAGAGCTGTTCCTAAGAAGCAACAAGGGAGTAAACATTAGCATTGTCAGCTTTTTCACTGTCTGACTTTGAAGACCAAGACAGTCTATCCAGCTGAGAGGAAAGATGAGCTACTTCAACCCATGACTAGATGACCCAGGGCAGTTGGGTGGTTGCTACAGAAAAGCATTTCCACCTGTCAGAGCCCCTATGTGGTAGGGGGCCCTCCAGGGAAAACAAAGGACCCCTCTACTCTGCCCTTCCTACCTTTCCCTCTCCCAGGTCCTGAGTATGGCCCATATGAGTAAATGGACAAGGAATGGATAGGATTCATTATGTGGCCAAGAGGAAGAAAGGTTTTCTAGGGGTCAGACACAGCTTGAACAAATTAAGAGGGAGGTGACTGGAGTACTTAGTACACACTGGGGAGAAATGGGAAATAAAATTAGGTTACTGTTAGCTGCCGACTCGTGGCAACCCAAAGGAATAAAACGCTGCCCAATCCGCTACTACCCATGATTGGTTACACACAGAGCTGTAGGGTTTTCACTGTCTGGTTTTCAAAAGCAGATCACCAGGCCTTTCTTCCTCATCCATAGCTCCACTGAAATCTGTTCAGCATCCTAGCAACACACAAGCTTCTACTGATGAACAGGTGGCAAGTGTAAACGAGGTAATCACCCCAAGTCTCCCACGTTGAGGGCAAGAATGGTACCTCTGAACCAGCACTGCGCCTCTAGGTCAGTGTTGTTGTTACGTGTCGTTGAGTTGGCCCACTCATCGCCACCTTGTATAGTGTTTCCAAGGCTTTTGGAACCAAATCTTTGCAGGAGCAGGAAGCCTCATCTTTCCATGGAGCGGCTAGTGGGCTTGCACCACCAACCCTGTGGTTTGAAGTCCAGTGTTTATCATATCTGTCAAACCATTTCAACTCATAGCCCTGTGAGAAAGCACAACTGCCCATAGTGTTTTCTAGGCTGTAATCTAGGCCTCCCAAGGAGCCACTGGGTAGGTTTGAACTACCAACCTTTTCAGTTAGCAGCTGAGTGCTTAACTATTGCAACACCAGGGCATCTAGGTCAGCGTTGTTAGTAAATGCCACCGAGTCCATTTTGACGTGTAGCGACCTCATATAGGGTTTCCAAGGAGCAACTGATGGGTTGGAACCACTGACCTTGCAGTTCAAACCAATGTTATGGTCTAGTGCTTATCCTACAATGC